CACACTCGTTTAATGCGTATTTGGCACCACCTTTTGTTGTGGGTGTATTAGTGACATGTCAAAGTCTAGACCCTGAATATAAGACGACTGTGTTTTTTCAGATGTATTTCCAAGAAAAAAACATCGTCTTATATTCGGGAGAATACGGTATTTGAAGGAAAGTTGACCTTCATCTCATTCTAACTTAACCTAAATTATTTTCCCTTACTATTACCTTATTAAATCTAGCTGATATTGTTAAATTAATCAAAAAGCTGTATACAGTTATTGTGATAAGTGGATTTCCTTGTTGAAGTCAAGTGCACGTGTAGATGATACACATGCAGAATTCATATTTAAATTGCAGTCATTTTGCGGTTTAATATTCATAGACACTAGTCTGTGAATTTAAGTGTATGGCCTATTTTTGATTTGTTCATCTACATTTTACCAAATTCCGTGACATTCCACGTTATACAGTAAATTGCATTTTAATGACTGAATTCCTTGATTCTGTCCACATTTTCTGCATTATGAAAATCTTATGGCCTTATGTAGCTGGCAGGTGTCAGATATTATGAATACTCATTTTCTCAGATTAATGGGTTTACATCTATTTTTAATAAACAAAATACGTTACCAGGTTGTTTTATTTCATGTTGCAAAAAAAACAACAACATATTTCTAGCGTATCATCATAGACTCCCTTGGTGCTCACTGTGTTTGAACATTCAGATGCATGTTGCCCAAAAATGCTGTCTAGATTGGCAGCTCTGCTGATTTTGAGATGGTTTCCATGGAGACCAGCCCAAAGCTATGAGCACTCATTTGTTTGTTCACAATGTTTTATTTTCCTCGCCATCTTTGCTACTGCATGTCCTTCCTTACAAGCCAGTTTTGGAGAGCTGGAAGGGTTTTTATAGCTTGCAGAGTTTATTTCCACTTTTTTATTTGGATTGTGACTGCAGCTAGCAATATAGCAAACAAATAGCAATTGTGGCTGGCTGTAATTGTGATCTGGGTTTTGGATTATGTATTCAGCAGTGGGTGGGCAGGTGTGTGAGGACTAGCATGAGGGGGAGATGCGTCTGATGGGTCTAATGGCGCTTTTCCACTGCATGGTACGGCTCGGTACGGTTCACTTTTGGGGGGTTTTCCACTGGGTATAGTACCTGGTTCTTTTTTTTTTTTTTAGTACCACCTTGGTTGAGGTTCCAAGTGAACCGTACCGTTACCAAAACATGACGTGTAAACTCTGCTGATCACGGATTGGTCGGAGAGAATCGTCACTACCTGCGTCACTGAACTTGTGAGACAAACACAACAGAACCGGTAGATTTAAATCCGCACAGCCAGCGAAGGATTGAACGCAACTGGTTTGAACGAGCGCACCTTTTTTTTAACAACCAAAAAGTGGCTGTTTCGTTGTCTGTTAAGGAAGTACAGACGTTCCTCTCGTTGATAGCAGAGGAGTGGATCCAGCGAGAGCTTGATGGGGCGATGCGGAATGAAAAAAAGTTTCAGGAGTCGCGGCAGTAGAGGCGGCGCAACTAACAACGTGAATAATCCCGCACATTCTAAAGCGGCACTAAACTGCAGTGGAAACGCAAACCGAGCCGAGCCATGCCGAGCTGTACCATGCAGTGGAAAAGCGCCATAAATGTCATGGCACTTTACCTCATAATGGGAATTAATTGAAGGTAATTTGTTATTGTTGGGAGACACACTGTGTTTGCTTGTGCCAACACTGATCTTTGGTCTTTGTCAACACATCATCCAAGATGAATCGCTGGAACATCATCTTGTGGCCATCTTAATGATAATCTGAAGATAGATTCAAAAAGGACTCTGATTTCTGCCCTGAGATTAAAGTCACTGTTGTCACATACAGAAAACACATCTCACTGTTTATTCAAGCATTTTATTAAATGCTTCAAAGAAGCTCATAAGCACAGTTTCATGTGGGCTGCTTATATTTTTTGACATTGCATTTGCTGTTTAATGATCTTCAGGATTGCTTTTCTACAGTACATAATTTACATTTCACGGTTATATTCTTGTCTGTAAATTATGAATTGTTATGAGTTTCTGTTCTGCAAAAAGGCTTGTCCTAACAGCAAGAGAGTCGCTTTAAACTTTCAAAGACTTCACTGATTGAACAAGCTTGCATGCATGTCAGCCAGACAGAGTTTGATAAATGGGATTTAAAATATTCATTTTAATACAATATTTGTTGTTGGGCATTACATTTAAAAGGATAGTCAACCAAAAATTACAAAATGTCTTCATTACCCTCATGTCTAGTGGTCGACCAATATATTTTTCAAATATCGGCATCGGCCGATACGTTTTTCTGTTTGACTGATGTGTTCGAGGCCAATTTTTCTTTTATTTTGACGCCGCATCTGACTTTTATTTTGACTGCGCCGAGAACGGCTGCGGCAGCGCCTGAGCACACAGTGCTCACATTCTCCCTCTTGTTCGCTGTTGTCATTCAGTTCTGTCTAATACAGATAGAAGTCTATCTAATAATCAGATATAACTGTTAAACAAAGAAATTAAAATGTATGCAAAAAAGTATTAACGATTGCTTTAATATTATTAAAGGCAAACATTATAATACTTTCTCGTTTGCCTTCAGCATTCCGCAAATACGCATTTATATAATTTAAACAAATCTTTGAATGACTAATGATGAACATTTAATTTCACAAACCTTGCAGACTTAGTCGAATCTAGTTGAGATCTTGTGAAGTGTGCATGTGACCTGCATGATCGTGTGTTCTGTGACGGTCGGTCCTATGGTCTGTGCGAATTGAATACGGACAGGAGGAGAGTTCAGCTTCACTGGAGACGTGCGATCGATAAACTTTAAACTCGTGACTGATTTCAAATTATGCTGTGATTTATGCATTTGCCCACTGTCATATTCATGTCATTTTCACTGTGTGCTGTGTATAAAATGAATGTTACCTTGGCTTTATTTGAAAAAATATGATTCCCAATGCACACAAACTTCCCAGAATACTGAGTGCCCTGTTGGTTAGTGTTAACTTCCTTTTTAATTATATTTTTATTAAATATTTATTTATTTGTGAAAAATGCTTTGTCCTCTAGAGTATAAGTATGTTTATTTTACACTTTTATTTTTTAATCCATTTTCAAATTATTTCAAATGTCTTAAATATGAATTAAAATAAATAATGATATCGGCTTTATATTGGCCATCGGGCACCCTGCTTTCGAAGATATCGGCATCGGTATCGGCTGTCAAAAAACCCATATCGGTCGACTACTACTCATGTCATTCCAAACCTGTGTAGTTTCTTTTGTGAAGCACAAAAGAAGATTTTAAAAAACGTTTAGAACCAAACACCATAGATGTCCAATTGTATGGAAAAAGACAGATTTTTTTAAATGTACTCTTTTGTGTTCCGCAAAAGAAAGAAGGTCATCATTTTGGAAATGAGAGTGAGAATTTTTATTTTTGGATGAATTAAAAATGTACCTCATTTAATTGCAGTCTAAAATATAACAGTAATAATAATAATATTTTTATGAGAGCTACACAGACTGGGGAAATAATTAATTACTCTGATGTTTTAATTTTTGGTTATTACTGAATGCATTTAAAGAATTTGAACTCTTGTCATCCATGTTTATTGTTAACAGCAGTGCAATAGCAAAATGTGGCTTTGCTTATCATCGTCAAAATGTGACTGAGTCCTGTATACAATATGCACACAGAATGCTAATTCAGGGTATTCACTCCTGCATTTAACTGCGGTTGTCACTCCCAAAACTTTCCAGAATGTACATTGCCATAATCATCAGAATTTTGTTTAGCTGAACGGCTCTGTTTGACTCACAAAGAAGCATTGTTATTGAGCTGTCTCTTTAGGAAGGTATCTGTCAAGCATGTCCCACTCAAAGCAGAGTAGAGTCACACACTCATATGTTCCCTCCAGCATGAAGCAGTGTGTAGTTCATTCCTGTCGCTTGTCACATGAGAGATAACCTCATGCTGACCTTGACTTTAAACAGAGCACCCTCACTGTCACAGGCTGCAGAAGATATGGTGCCAGAGCTTGGTCACTTCATTGTCTGCTCTTTAGTGAACTGGCCCATCCACCAAACACACACTGTATATACTGTATAATCATATCATTTATCTCTAACCATGCCACACCCAGAGTTATTCCTCTCCCTGTGTGTGCTGTTAGACTCTTTGATGTCTGGTCTATAGATGTTTTATCTTATCTTGATTTTGATCTTGATTTAAGAGTAGATTGTGAACAATGTGGCTGTCTCGCTGAAACAGCATTTCCATATTGGGCTCCTTGTTTCCTCACGGCTGTGGATCCTTCTGCCATCACAATGCCAGGAAGAGTTTGGACAGCAGAGTGGCGTCTCTGACAGCCTTCTTTGTCTTCGCTATCACCACTATCAATGAATATCTTCCGCTCACCACAGTCTTGCTGACTCCTCAGCAGCTCAAAATGTGTTGAAAACAGAGGTGGCTTCCTTCAAAGAACTGACATATTCCTTCCCTATTTAAGCAGAAAGCATTTGTAAAATTATTCTTTGTGAATGTGCACACACTTTATTTTAGCTTTAAATTATGATTTTTTCCCCCTAGCACTTTTTATTGAAATAGCAAGGCTTTGCTTCTGTCTTTGACATGGAAATAAAGCCTTGGAGTATTATTATTAATGTAATGAGTATTAATGTTTATTATTATTACTATTATTTTCTTTCTTTAAAATACATATACTTGTCTAATATTATTATTATTATTGGTACATAATGCATTACAAAAGCTCATCCTTTGCAAGTAGGTATATCTAAAATACTTGTACACTAATGATTACTTTCAGCAGGTTTTCATTGTCTGAATATGTGCTCAAGACACACATGTTCTTTCAGTTGTGTCAAAAGCTCTTATCACAGCTCTTTTCTTAATCCACAATCATAAAGCCTGGTTATCAAGAGAACTAATTGGGCTTTTCTTTGTTTTTCAGAAACCGAGCGATAGCTGATTACCTTCGTTCCAATGGATATGAAGAGGCATATTCCGTTTTCAAAAAGGAGGCAGAATTAGACGTGGTGAGTGTGGGAACCCCCTCCATTTATACCCCAGTCAAACCAATATTTCTTAATTTGAAGTATTCCCCATTTAATTGGCACCTCTGTGTGAGGTTGTGTCTGGCGGCACACGTGCTGAATTAAGGCAGTGCAGAGATAATTATGATGTGTGGCAGATGTAAAGCCCGACGCTCCCTGTCGTCTCAGCGATGGTTCACATTGATAAAGGGACATACTAAATTGTGTCTCTCCATTATCACAGGGTAGACCAGGAGAATTACTCCAATTCAGCAGAAAATGCCTTGCCGTAATATGCTGTCTGAAAATGTGAGAGCTCTTGGCACATGCAGAAGCTCTTGTTTGAAAACACTCCTGGTTAGACAGAATATAAACTATTTATTTCCTTTGTACAGAGAAGAAAGAGCATGATTTATTGATCAGATTTATGGACCGAGAGGTGGTCTATGGTGCTAAAAGCTCTCTTTAATTAAACAGAATGCTATTAACACAGCTTCATTTAGCAGAAGAGATTTCATCATCGATCCTTCCTGCTGTTAAGATGTTCTGAGAGGGGGGCTGGGGTTTGTGACTTTAGGCATAACTGTAGCTGTAAAGTGGTGCTCTGAGGGCTGGAGGGAGCTGATGGACTGTCTGACGGCAGTCCAGAGGCTGGCACGGCTGATGGGACTGGTATTTAGCCATTGGCCAACACACATAGCAGAGGGTCCAAGCAGATGGTGGATCAGTCCTCTGTAGAGGCTTTAAATGCCCCTCTCCCTCAGAGACGCATGACACGACCCCTCTCACTCCACTTCTCATCACACAGACAGCACCTGTTCTGCTGGACATCTCTGATATTACTCCAGAAGAGCCTCTCTCTTATTCTCTTTGTCTGCCACATCCTTTTTTTCATTATCCATAGATCTGGGAGCTGTGTTATGCTTTTGCATTTTTCATGGTTAGAGACCAGTCTAGTGAAAACCACATGTACACTTCTTTCAGAAAACACAACCTTCATATTGCTTTCCGGCTGAGACTGTGAGGTTGCATATTTAAAAACACAACCATAGAAATCTGTTCTGTCAGGGATTGGAAATGTGAGGGTTTAGTTTTGTTGGATTTTCATACCTCTAGATTTTCATACTTTCATACCATAGACTGAAAGCCTTGAATGAATTGACGCGGTGAACGAAGGTAATGGTGTATGTGTGTTAATTTATTATGCATTTAATTTTATTATTATTATTGTATTATTCATATAAAACATAAGATATTGGCCATGTTATATTGCCCCCCCCCCCCCCCCCCCACCCCGGCGCGCCAACCAAAAACAAATCCCCCCCCCCCCCAGACATGGGTAGTACAGTAGATATAATCAGCGTTTGCTACTTAATGTTTTTGGGATTAGAGAATGCCAATGGCAATTATTTATCTCTAATTTTGAGAACTAAATGAAAGATCTAGTTGGTGCCAGGCACCCTAAAGTTGATTTTTCACAGTGCGGTGTTTGTGTAATTGTATTCTTGGTAAGCTCTCTTTGTCTGCTTGAGATTAACCCATGTGAAGGGATTTAGAGGGAATTTACTGTTGCCACTGGGGTGATGGGTATATGCTTTCTTTTTTTACTTTAGGCATATGTAAATCTTGATTAAAAAAAATAAATAAAATGTTGTGTGTTGTGTTAAGGTGTAATGCTTTTGTCATCTTTTGTCACCAGAATGAGGAATTGGATAAGAAGTATGCAGGTCTTTTGGAAAAGAAATGGACCTCAGTCATCAGATTACAGAAAAAGGTTTGCGCATTTCATGTTTAATGCAAATCCTATTAAGAACCATTGAGGCAGCCTTGACTCATTGACTATTCATGGTCTGAAATGCCAAAATTTAGGGTTTAGAAATGCTGCATTTCAACTGCTGAAACTGTAATCCAAAAATGTCACTTTCATTCATTTTATTTGATGTGTGTAATGAGTCGTACCCATTATGCCTTCTGCTAGGTGATGGAATTAGAATCAAAACTGAATGAGGCAAAAGAGGAGATTAATATAGGTGGGCCAGTTGGACAGAAGAGAGACCCCAAAGAATGGATTCCCCGTCCTCCTGAGAGATACGCCCTGAGCGGCCATAGGAGTCCTGTCACCAGAGTCATTTTCCATCCTGTTTTCAGCGTCATAGTCTCTGCCTCAGAGGATGCAACAATAAAGGTGAGGTCTTCTGTATCTTTTGTGGGTTTAAAGTCAAGAGGAAAGCTTTTTATTATTTAGATCAGCCAAACAATTCAGAAGTATAGTATATGCAAGGTACCCCCTTTGTTATGTTGTATTTTATTTGGAATCAGTCCTACAAAGGGTTCTTCTATTTTCTCAAACACTTGCTCTTCGAGTGATTCATGTTGCGCCTCAGTGCTGGCAGCTACGGCCACCAACCTGAGTCTGTGCCCCCTCCTCCTGTGCCCTAGTTTTGTACTCTATGCTATTAAACCCTTCCCTAAAATACCCAGCCCTCCCAATCTTAACATGGGCAGCCCTCAACCAGACAGCTAGAGCTGGTCCAAATATATTCTGCACCATTCTCTCCATCCGCATATTCAAAGCTATAATTGTCAGGAAGCCTGAAGCTGTGCAGCCAGATGCTTTTTTTCTCACTTCTGTTCAGTGTAATGTAGATGTGTTAAGAAGGCTGTGGCAGACCTTTTTTTTTTTTTTTTTTTTAGCTTTAAAATGTTCTTCTTTTTATGTTAATCAGCAGTTTGACAGCCACTTGACAAGACCGTTCTCCTTTTGCTTAGCCTGGTTATTGAATCAGCCAAATGGTTTTCTGTTCAGTTTCATGCACAAGTATGTTTTTTTCAGACTGTGATATTTTATACATGCGCATGAACATATGATGTGTGCTCAAACATGCAGGAAAATCTTTCATCTCCACAATTTGTCTGAAATGTCAACACTCTAGTCTAAAATAAGCCCATTCGGTTTATGCAGCACTATGCAGTTGATTTTTAGCATGCGCTTTTATTTTTTTCTTTCCCTTACTTTTGAAGCCTGGTATACACTCTTGGTTCAGGCTGTTTTTCAGATAAAAATGAACGGACTTTTAGGGATGCACGATATACCGGACCATGTTGGTTATTGGCAAATTTTGCTGGTTTGTTTATCTATTCAGTTAATCTATTTATTCAATTATTCTTTCATTTATCCAAAATAAACCAAAAATAAAAAATTGTGTGGGCAAATGTTCTTTTTTACATTTACATAGCCTTTTAACTTTACCGCAAAAGGTAAATCTTTAGTTAATCTAATAGTAAAAGTTTTTTACTGCTGTACATTATAATGTAAAGGCCTAAATCTACTTGGTGCATTTAATATATTTCTTGGCAAAATAGCATATCATTTCAGTTTTGGCCATTTATTGTTATCTGCCAAAACATGAAAATAATTATTGCCACTGGTATCTGCCAGAATTTTAGATTAGGTTTGCTGTGGTTCTACAGTTCTCCTTTTTTATTTGTTTTGATTTATGTTGTAAAGGTAAGTAAGTTGATGATCAAGCACATACAGACAGATCAATGAGGGCAGATAAGTAGTATACACTCTATGTAATAGTATTGCAGTCTCAGCTACTTGGTTAAAGCTTACTTGCATGAGTAACCTAGGTGTGCCACATCAGGCTTTTCTTGTGCATTTTTTCTATCAGAACACGACTTGAGTTCTGTCTCCCTCTTTGGAAGCAGGAGACAGATAAGCAGGTGGAAGGGCTTCTGTCACCGGCCCCCTGTGCAGCAGACAGAGCTTATCCCTGTGTGTCTGCCGCCTAGAAACTGCTGAAACCTGATCTTCACATTAAGCCCTGAGGCTGTTTATCATACTGCTGCATCCAGGCGAACAAGCAGATAACATTCAACTCACTTCACAAAAATGCTTTAATGATAAAGAAAATTATGAAAACTGAATTTAGGGAAAACATGATGTCCAAATATTCTGAATGAAATGTTCAGATTGTATCCAGAGGGCAGTCTGGCTTCTTAGATGGTTTAAAATCTGGCTTTATGACAGATATTTCACTGAATATATAATAGCAGCTACAAGTCCAGACCTGCCTTTTATGCTTTACCTTATCATAACAAGCTGCCAAACAAGTTAATGGCTTTTTTATTGAAAAGATGCTCATCTTGGGCTAAAACATGTGTTTTGTGTCTGATCCAGGTATGGGACTATGAAACGGGTGACTTTGAGCGGACCCTCAAGGGCCACACAGACTCTGTGCAGGACATTTCCTTTGACCATACTGGAAAGCTGCTAGCCTCCTGTTCAGCGGACATGACCATTAAGCTCTGGGACTTCCAGGGCTTTGAGTGTATCAGGACCATGCACGGTGAGCATGGTGTCATATGTTGTCATTGATTCTAGGAGCTTTTAGGAGCGGAGGGGCGTCTCAGGGGGAATAGAGTGTCAGGAGGCAGGTGTTGAATGCAGCTCATTAATGTGCCAGCTTGCCAACAAATCCATAAGAGAGATTCTTCCTGTATTAGAAGGCATCCTTTAACACATTTTCTCAAATATTACTGTTTAGGAAAGTTTAAAACATTTTTATTTAGGTTTTTATAATCATTATAATATTAAATATCTATGGATACATTATAATTCATGGACCCTTTTTACAGACTGATGCTTTCAACAGTCATCAGCATTTTAAATCCTGAAGTTTTATATATTTCAATTAAAAATATTTATATATTGTACATTTATAATACTGTACTTTGTATTATAATTACCTTTGCATCCAAAAAAAAAAAAGTTAATGCTGCTGTAAGGCTTTATCTAATACATCAGCTATAGAAGTGATGGTAAAGTTGACATTGTTCTCTCTTCTGACTGCTGTTATCAGTTTCTCTATATTTTCTTCCTCTTTTGAAAGTTGTGAAAACAGTATCTTGGTGTTTTTCTGTTTCTATTTAAGCAAATAATGCAAAAAATATATATTTGAGGTAGTCTCCCATTCACTGCTATAGAAGTTTACCCAACTGAGAAACCCATAAATAGAGCTCCAATATATAATTTATAAAAATAGATTTAATATACTGTAATAATGTATTACATTTTCCTAAAGTTAAGATTTATTTTTAGAGCATTTTAACAATTTTTTTCTCCACTCTACGAAAGTGAGATCCTGTCCTTGCTCTCAGAATGCGTTCCTTAGGATGTGCCCATGTTTAAAATCCTAGTTGCTTGGTAAATTTTAATAGCTTTGGAAATGTGAGCCTTCAGGCTTTTCTAATGGGAGATCACACCTCAAGTGAATTTGCATTTTGTCTTACGGGTTCTGTATTATGTCAACATATCTTCCCCTGTTTTAGATGGATAGTTAACACTTTAAGTGTCATGAAACCCCCCATTTCAGTTTGGGTCAGATCTCACCATAGGTTTGGAAAAGCGCAAAAACAGTCGGTGTGAAGAGAAGGGGGATGGGGGCATAATTTTCTGTCGTCCAGCCACTTACATTCCGTTAATTATGACGTTTAAACCGTATCAAAACCTCACTAATGCACACTGCAATTCACAATTTCATGCAAAAAAAAAAAGCACAAATATTTAAACCGTTTTGTAAGCTGATCTGCATTTGCGCCGTGCATCAAAATACACATATACAGTATGTGCTTTTGCAATGATTCAGGAATGCGTCAGCTGGTTGGTTAACAGTAATGATCAGCCCTCTACAATGCGAGTAAATCACTCGCATATGTGACTAAATCTTCACTCTGGGTGTCTAAATGATGTCTTAACATTAGCCATTGGCTAATAAATTCTAAGATTTTACTCGCCAGTGTGTGAGTTGGAGGTTAAGTATAAGTTTAGTACAGATATATTTGCTCTCACCGTAGACGCTGACTGAGTGGTTCAGAGTTTCACTCTCCATCAAGCGATCTGTGCTATTTTTCAATTAATCTCAATGGATGTGCAGCGTACCTGTATTTGACATACCGTAAATTCTAGTGCGAAGGCGCATGACTCACCGTCGCTTTGCTGAGAGTGCTGTGTTTCTCACACACATGCAAAGAGAGAGAGAGCGAGAGAGTTTTACATACCATGCAGAATTGACGTGGTACATGTAAACGATATCCCTTGTTGTATTTTCCTGTCAAAATTACATAAGTTCATTTGGAATTCTTCAGCTTTTAAGAACAACCATAAGATACTACCGGTTTCTCGGGTAGTGGGTGGAACTAATGCGTAAACGGCAATCTCATTGGCTGGCGCTCACCTATTATCGTTAGTATATCAATCTGGCGAGTAAACAAAAAAAATTTACCAATGTGTGTGTAGAGGGTTGAATGATGGATGGTGACAGCTCAATGTTGATTGTGAAGTTGAAAAATCTAGTAAAAAATCTTTTGACTTTCACAATTTATAAATGTTTGTTAAATTCATTAAAAAAACATATTTTCATGTGTCATGACGAAAACGAATCAAGTGTTCTCAGAGTTTTTCTCAAGTAATTTGTAATCCATATCAAAAATGTGTAAGTCCTGAGTGGTGATAATCCAAATAACGTGTGTGCCAGCTTGTAATATCCACAAATCCAAAGGCTCGTAATTTACACCCATCACTAAAGCTGGCATGTTTCCCTGAGACTAGGGTAGACCGTTCTAGCACAGATTTCAAGAGGTGGCAAAGGG